TTTCGACTCATGTGACGAGTGACCCCAGTGTTGCCCAAAAGGCTGGTTTGCGTTTCATTTCAAGCAGGGATTCTGTATGTGTTATTTTATACAACGAATAATAGTACGCGTAGATTATCAGCTGAGATGGGAGTCAAATAAGAAGAAACTGGTCACTTTACGTATTTTGGGTACATGTCCTCGCCGCCTATGCATTCTTCTTGGCTTCGAGCTCATCTCTCTCCAAAGCCACTCTCTCAAACTCCTGGTAATCCCACGCACCTGTGTTCGGTTCGCCGTCTCTCACCCATCCCAGAGCAGCACCCGTCAACCAAGCTGCGCGCAAGAATACGCTCCCATCAAGGAACTCCCACTCCGGCGCCTCGAGCGCTTTGTACTCGCCCTCTGCGAGTTCAAGACCACCGGGCAACACTGGTGTGTCAGGACAACTGATCGCTGGACTTGAGGACAGTGCCTCCGACATGAAGCCAGCTTCATGATGCCCGTACAGTGTGGCAAAGTGTGCAAGTGCACGCTGGCACTTGCAGAGATGCTCATTCGGGTGTACGATTGTGTTCTCTAGAAGGGGTAACCATACGTTGGGTGTCACCGCATGAGGACTATCCCCGCCGAGCAGTGCACACGCTGCTGACTTGGGAGGAACACCAGGGAACGTCGTTGGGTACTTGAAGTGCGCTGGGGAAGGGAGGGGCGCAAGCGGCGCGGCGAAGAACTTGCGCAGGGGGAGCGCAGGGCGTCCACGAACGAGCCACCAGGTGATGCCTGCGAGGAAGTGAGCACGTAGGAGGAGAGACTGGCTTCGGTATGAAAGGTGAGCACAAAGAGAGGGGAGGAAGAGGCATGAAGTGACGATATGCATGGTGAAGAAATCGGCACGATACTCTTCGCTTTCGCCATCCCAGCTACCGACGCCGTACATCAAAGTACTTGCCCACACGAGCTCCTCAAGGTGGCGACTGAAATCTTCCTGGCTGTTGATCTCACATGTCCACATCTCTGCGTAAGAGTTGATGAGTTCGCCGTGCGAGATGAGCATGGCCTCGAATTCATGCTTTTCGAGGATACGCGTCCAGAAACGCTTATCAACAAGCATCTGCGAGAGGATCGTGAGCGCATGCACATGCGGTTTAGGCTTGTACTGAGAGGCCGAGTTTCCGTGGAAAAGCAAGCGAGAGACTAAGACGGTTGCTCGTGCAGGATGAACGCTCGCCTGAGCGAGACCTTCAGCCAGCATGCCAGGTAGTCCGAATTCTGCGCCATAGCCTGTGTGAATGAGAGGGTGGATGAGAATTTCCACGAAACGGTTAAGCATTTCAGGTTGCTGCTTTCCAGGTGCGAGAGAGTTGTTGATGTTGTACTCTGAAGAGAAGATGTACTTTTCAAGGGTGCTTGAGATGGTAGCGCCTGGGGCGAGAACTACTTTGTGGAAATATTCCAGATATGCATTATAATAACTGGATAGCGTTTGTGAGTTATTTTGACTGAGATGTATGAAGTATTCAGGCTTACTTTTCATCGCCGAGGTAGTCATGAAAGTTGTCATCTGAGATGACTACATGGTCAGGTGCCTGGAAAGCATCGCGCATATGGTCGAGGTGAGTATCTTCATATGCAGCTGTGATGAGAGGGCCGGATGCGCCAAGTGCCCAAATGGCTAACAAGTGGTGGGCTGCATGGCTGGATGGAGTGTTAGGGTTGTTCTGGTATGTAATTTTGTGAGGACATACTTGTGAAAGCTGTAGTAGTTGAAGAAGACATGGCTGCGCTCGTGATTATCTTTGAGGGTCTTCAGGAGTGCGGCAGTTGGCCCTGGACCAGCATTCGGTAGACGGGCTGGTGAAAGGACTGATGGAGGGGACGATGGAGTCGGAAAGAGGCGTTCCAGAAGCTCTGCGGGGGATGGTGAGACAGGGATTGGATTAGCGGGAGGAATGGTGTTAACCATGGTGAAGAGATTGAAGTGAGGTTGATAGGACTCTGAGCTGGTATTTATGTGAAACCGGCGAGTCAGCGCATGATGGACAGACTTGGGCTAGGGCGGTAACGATGGTGTAGAAAGGGCTAGTGATGGACCAGGCAGTGACGCCGGCAAAAACGGACACAGCTTTATCAGCACTAACTTAGTCTGTGGAGCGACCCGCATGACACGCAAGATGGACCTATGGACCTCCAAGGACGTCCGAACCAACATGAACGGCACCGACGAGTCCTACTGCTGACCCCTCATACGGATCGAGGGCAAACATCACTCGTCGACGCCAGTCTCTCGGTGCATATCGTGGGTATTCAAAACAGGCTAAAGAAGCGGATTTTAAGGCTGTAGAGCGGCTATCAAGAAGGATGGACACTGATTATTATTAAAACTCCGTCATTGGGCTTCCGTCCTCCTCTCCGTGTTCAATATACATCACATTCTCTCTCACAGAATGTCTCCCTCGAACCCAGGGAATGAGGAAGGGAACTCGTGATAGAGTACGTAATACTCGCGTGATCAATCGCCATTCTAAAGTACGAGCATCACAATATATATAGGCTATCTTCAGACCCAGACAATCCCACTTATCTCTCATTCATTGTCATGGCTCAAGCCAACAAGTGAGTCCATGTCTCGTTCAAAGATCTTTCATGCTTAACTTTCGGTCGAAAGGCCTCAGGAGTTCGAGACCCTGCAGTTGCACGCTGGTCAGGTTCCAGATCCTACCACAAACGCTCGCGCAGTTCCCATCTACGCCTCCACCAGCTTCGTATTTAACGACTCTAACGTTCGTCACTTTCCACCAAGTTTTGTTTTAGGGGCTGAACATCACTTCAGCATGGTGCAGAGCTTTTTGGTCTCAAGTCTGTTTCATCAGCGATCACAAGCGAGCCCATCCTAATGCAATTTCATGCAGAGCTTTTGGACACATTTATTCTCGTATCGGAAATCCCACTGTCGTACGTAAATATTTCATCCATCCTCTTTCACAGGCCAAGTTCTTCCTATTCGTCATTAGGACGTATTTGAGAATCGAATTGCTGCCCTTGAAGGTGGCGTTGCGGCCATCGCAACGGCCTCCGGTCAATCTGCACAATTCCTTGCTATTTCCACAATAGCCAGTGCAGGTGACAACATCGTCTCAACGTAAGGCCCAGTCTTCCGGTCCAGAACTCAATTCACATCTTGATAACAGATCATATCTCTATGGAGGAGTAAGTGGATCATTTTAGAGAACTGAGGGGTTGTTCTAATTTATACGGTCGCTCGAAGACTTATAACCAGTTCAAAGGTTCGTTTGTCAGCATCTCACCAGTATCATGACCCTCACGGTGTGCAGTCACCTTCAAAAAGTTTGGTATTGGTGTAAAGTTCGTGGATGGCGATGATCCCGCGCTTTTTGCAGCAGCAATCGATGAGAACACAAAGGCCATCTTCGTCGAGAGCATTGGTAACCCCAAGTACAATGTTGCCCCCATTCCCGAGCTGGCCAAAGTGCGCACACCAATCATTGCCAATCGACCCTTGCTCATGTTAAGCCAACAGGTTGCACACGATAACGGTATCCCCTTGATCGTGGACAATACGTTTGGAATGGGAGGATACCTCATTAGACCCATCGACTTGGGAGCAGACATCGTTTGTGAGCATATCTCTCACGTAGGTGATCCGCGGCTTATCTGTATCGTCTACAGTGCACAGTGCAACAAAATGGATCGGAGGTCATGGAACCACGATTGCAGGTGTTGTCGTCGATTCTGGTGCGTTCACTTCACGATCGCTTTCCATCTGTACATCTCAGTTATGTCAGGCAAGTTCGACTGGGCACGATCGGGCAAGTTCCCGTCGTTCACTTCTCCCTCCGAGGGATACCATGGCTTGGTCTTTCACGACACATTTGGTGCTGTCGCTTTCGCTATCAAACTTCGCGTCGAGCTTCTCCGCGATTTGGGTCCAGCCATGAATCCTTTTGCTGCGTTCTTGCTCATTCAGGGTATTGAAACGCTCAGCTTGAGGGCTCAAAGGCACTCCGAAAACGCTTTGGCGCTTGCTCAGTAATTTATTATGCACTCATCCACGGGGAGACTCTTATTGTTTTTAGGTGGCTGTCAAAACACGAGAAGGTCGCATGGGTCTCCTATCTTGGTCTAGAGAATCACTCCTATCACCAGCGGGCGAAAAAACTTCTCCGCCCAAATGCCTATGGCGGTGTCCTCAGTTTCGGTGTCAAAGGTCATGCTAGTGTGGCAGGCACGGTCGTCGACAACCTGAAACTAGCTAGTAATCTTGCAAACGTTGGTGATGCCAAGACCCTTGTCATCCACCCTGCGTCGACGACACACCAGCAACTCAGTGACGAGGAGCAGCTGTCTTCGGGTGTCACGCCTGATCTGATCCGAGTGCGTACCGACATTTCTGATGAAGATGTTTTCTGACTGATTATTTGGGCAGGTATCCGTGGGCATCGAACACATCAATGATATCGTTGCAGACTTTGAGCAGGCTTTGACGCATGTGCCTTGATTTCCAAGAAGGAAAGAAATTTGTACTGGTACTATTCTCTACATAGTAGCTAACCGGACACGATCGCCAAAAAAGTTATATGCAATCTCTCACGTCTACCAAATTCATGGAACGAAACGGTCGTCATAAAGCACTCAAAAGTGCCATTCTTCAAATCCAAAAGTTGGATGCGCTCAATGAGCGGTGTTTGATCTTAGGCGACCGTTTAGCGTCTTCTAAGTTTCTGCCAATCTGCAAAACTACTGAAATGAAGGATAAATCTAATGAGAAACCCCCTTACCTGGGGGTACTTGCTTAGTCAGCAGAAACCCTTCTGACTTTACACATCCTGGCAGGGTTTCTCACGGCCGGAGCCACCACCATGCTCGGCTACAGCACTGTCCTGCCGAAAACATGTACTTCAGTTGAACTACAGTACTCCAGACTGGTCTGTTCTAGGTCACCGCAAATGAGTTCCAAGGAATCCTATGAATCATACTCAACACTAGGCAATAGCATGGGTAACCCGCGGGTATTCTGTGCTGTACCTGCACCCATATCTGTGTGGAACTAGACCCGTGTTGTTGGGTATGGGTCCATGGGTATTCAGGTGTACTATGGGTACTAAGTATATACATGTAAACGGCTCATAATAAGAACTACAATCAAATCAAATCCCATCCATCATCAAGCTTGTTCTCTTCACCAACTACCTTGGGCATCACAGCAACAGCCATAACATCTTGGTCTTTGACCAACCCTAAAAGACTCCAGGAACCTAAGCAAAGCAATGCGCGGACAGACTGGGCAGATAGGTGACTGCGGACATGAGATAACAAGAGGCGGCTGCGGCTAAAAATTCGCTCTACATCAACTGACGTCGCTACATATAATGAGCGAGATGAGTTGCCGACGGATGTGAGGCTGATAAAAAAACTCACCAGGAATTGACAGATAATCTAAGGCCATTCAGGAGAGTTGAGGATACATTGCCTTCTGTTTGGTCCACCAAGCTAAGACATCAGCAACATATTCTGGATCTGTGCTGAGGTATGAATCGAGCTCATCACGGAGCTCTGACTGCTTGGGTGCTGCTAACACTGGAAGTTTGTCAAAGATGTTATGAGATTTTCGCTGGTTAAAACAATGGTGAGAAAACAGTAAAGTTAGACAAGACAATACATACCGCTGATGTTTCCTGGACTTCGTCCTCATCCACAGCATCATACGAGTCGGTGTTGTTAGTAGTGGTTGTGTAAGAGTGCTCGAACTCATCGCGAACAATACTCTCCGCGGCTTGAATCCATTCAGCTCCCCATCCGGCCTCCTTGAAATATGATAGTTTGTGTCGAGGGTGCAGTACTGGAAGCAGTGTCAGCGTCAGTAAAGTACACTGGTAAAGTATGACAGAAAACTTACCCATCGAAATCCGATAAACTTCTGACCAGTCGGTCATACTGTAGTAGCAGTTCAGTGTGTTCTTCACCAGTCCGAGTGACACTCAAATAGCTGGCTCATAAGCGCGCGTGACAGAATCTGTTGTGAGTTTTCTGTTGATCATGTCCATTGCAGGAATGACGGTTGCGAGATTCAGCGTCAATCGAGAGAAAAAGAATGTTGCATCCTTGAGTATCTAGTATTATGTTCTGTTAGCACTGAACTTCAACGTGAGAATGGAGAACTTACCTTTAGAATATCGCACAATTGTTGTGCAAGCTCCCATTCCTTCTCACTCAGCTCGTGGTCCCGAAGATCCATGTTCTTGTCGGCACAAATCATATCAATAGCTTCGTGATACTTAAGGGCAAAGGTGAGCATATCAAAAGTTGAGTTCCATCGGGTCGCAATGTCACATGGCATGATGCGCTGACTGAGTTTGCACTTCTTGAGAACATCATACCACGCTGGAAGAAGTTTGGTTGTCAAGTGGATGATCTTGAAGGCTAGTTTACATAGCTACAACAAAGGTGAGTACTTTGTTTTGTTACGAGTGGGAAATTACTTCAACCTTTACAAGGACAAATCATATAGGTCCAACACTATTTCGCACAGCCTGGTGTTCACATGCTGACAGCTGCGCCATCTCATCAACCCATCCCTCAATATTGTCGTTCTCCTCGTCATCTCTCTCGTTCGGTCCCAATTCATCAATATCAATATCCTTTGCGAGATCTTGAAGTTGCTGTTCTGCTTCGTCCATCATGGTGTTTGCTTTCGCTCTAGGTATGTCAAACTGTTGGATCAATGTTTTGGCAACGAGATTGATGATATGAAGGAAACATCATGTCCTATTCATTTCTCCTGGGAAGTCCTCCAGTAGATCACTCAACTCTGTTGACCATTGTGTCATTATTGGATGCGTTATCGCATGTAATGCTCAGAACCTTTGTGAGTGTCAATTTTAATTCAACACATTGATTGTATCGCACATGCCTTGTCTGATATGCCGAAATCTTGCAGTATATTCGCAAACGCCTCCGCGAGGTTGATTCCGCTATGGGACTTTGCCACTTCAATGACATCCAGTATCAAGCTGAAAGGTTGTCCATCTTGCTCGAAGTGGACGGACACAGCAACAAATGCTTTGTGATTTGGAGACGTCCAGGCATTGGTAACGAAGTTAAGATTGCCCTCGTAGTTCTATCAGGAGTGAGTTGTTTGTGTGGTGCACATTGTTACTGACATACCTGAAGCATCCTAGCTATTCATTTACGCGTTCGTGCAAAAACAAGCTTAACGTCGCATGATACTGTTGATGCTGACAGGATATAACACTCAGGCCGCCCTGTTTTCATCAATGACTGGAAGCCACGGTCTTCAACGATTTTAAATGGCCGCACACTCTCGGATACCCATCGCACTATTTCAGCTCGGCTCTCGGTTTTGGTATGCTGTCTGTGTGAATATGTTACCTTCCCCTTCCCCTTCCTTTCAAAAGCTGTTGTAATTGAACCCATTGTACAGAGAGGTTTGATAATTGATTCTCATGCCACTGTTGCATTCTTCGCTTTATCGACAATCTCAACTGTCTCCATTCCCCAGCATTTTTTAGCGTGTTTCCGCATATTGCTTGTGGACTTCGCATCTGCTTTATCAAGGAAATGACGAATCGATTGGTTGCACCCTCTCGCGCAGCAACTGAACGCATGGAATCTTCGTCCGTTGACATGGCCAATCACAGGAATGGGGTTGAAGAAGGAATAAATGGGAGCAGTTTAATCTTTGGTAAGTCTCGCTAGATTTCATCACTTCAGATTTTGACTATGGTTGCTTTTTACAGGATCATACCGAGTTCAGCTTCTGGATCTTCTGGATCTTCTTCGGCACTTGCATTGTTGGTGTCGTCTTCCTCACCGCCAGCTTGGCTCTCAGTTTCGCTGCCATCAAGACCAATATGGACAACTGTGCTCCCAGTATGTAAGGCATTTTCTTCTTCTTCACTCATGACAGAAGCACAATGTGATGAGAACCTTGATGTGGAGCTATCTTTAGAAGGTGTTGCGAGCTTCTTGTGTGCCATCTCCTCGCTGGTGAGAGTGCTTCCAGCAGGTGGGTTGGTTTTTACCTTCTTCAGTTGTGTCTTTGTGCTATCTCCAAGTCCATTTGAAGTAGCTTTTCGTTTCTTGGATGTTGTGGCTTCCAGTGCAGCTTTGGCTCTGGCAGAGATTTTGGGTACTTGTTTAGTGGTGTTAGACTTGTGCATGGTGACAGCGAGAGTTTGGTGAATTCAAGTTTTGCAATTGTGCTCCTGACTTATGTTGAATTTTCCTGATTGTACATTAGAGTTTGACATATACAATACCTCCAAACTTCATTTGCACTAGGCTATCAATGAAGGCACGGGTATGGCATGGGTCCAGCTTAGAGCACGGGTCAGGTAATTCTAACCCGCACCTGTACCCGCCAGTACCCTTACCCATTACCCGTGTGGGTTACCCATACCTGTGCTTTTGCCTACTCAACACCCAATCCATTTTCAGCATATTCTAACAATTATTTTCAGAGCATCGCCTTTGATAATTCTGTAGCTCTTGATAATGAATTGTCAGGCAGATGGTATCAGGATTATAATTTGAATATTCAAACAGTGTCAGCAGTGTCTCTAGATAATGTACCATGGAATTCTGGCCTTTGATCAGCATCCATCACAATAAGTCCACCCCACCTATCCAATCCACTTGATTCCTCCAGTGCACAATGAAATGCCACACCACCCACTCAGACTATTGGTGCATGTGAAGTATACCACGAAACTCACACTGCACTCAAGCCGCTCATAAACAGTGTCCACACAAAAGAAGACCTCGATGAACTGCTGCAGGATCTTGACGAGCTGCAGTAAGTTTTTGTTGGTACATTAATTAAAACATACCAATTTCTGTTCAGGAGAATGAAAGCTGAAGAGGCCCGCTCGGCTCTCATTCACGACCCTCCAGTCATTCAGCAGAAAGGATGCTTGCGGTCAGCTTGACTGACAGGCACCATTGAAGGTAGACCACAGGGAGGAGGGCCATCAGCAAGGAATTGAGTCTGTTCAGAGAATATGTGAACGACTCCAACAGTGTCCCAGGCATGCCTTGAGCCACCCAGCGCAACTCAAAGAGCGCATAGCAAATGTGGGCTTTGTTGATGGGAGGGATTCACATGGCTAAATTTTGGTTGGATTTGAGAAACAGATAATAGGTGAATCTATTACTGAGGACTTCAAGTTAGTTGTAATAGGTAGAGGGTGGTGTCTTGGCATCTCGTCAATGATGTGCAGTCAACTTGAAGGAAGGTTTTGATAATAGAAAAATCTTCTTCGCCAGGTTCCTGCGCTTGTCTTTGAAGTTCTTCTAGCGTTCAAGGTTGAAAGCATCATCATTGTTTGAGTGTTGAAACCACGTGAAATTCTTCCTCCAGTGTTTGAAGTCAAAAGCGTCATGACTCATCATTGCTCAAGATGGTGGCATGGTGGCAGCATTGAAATCCATGTGGACACACAGCAGACCATGGTGTAGAACCTCACATGTCCACAGGCACTTCCCTTGAATTCTTCCACATTCCCTACACACTCCAGTTCTAATCCCAAGGATACGTCTTGCGCAGTAGCACTTCATATATTTTACTTTGCAGATTCCGCACACAGCCACTCGCACTTTGTGCGCACCGTGCATCTGTATCAGCATTGTCCGCATACCCATCCACCCATCCTCCCCATGTCCTTAGATGTCCATTGGTGCGTTTTCTCACTATATTCCCATCTTAACTAATTGTTTCCATCGCTAATTCTCAGCCTAGCACTATGCACGCAGCCGAGACCCTATTACCTATCTCACGTACTATATTTAGCTTACTCGGCTCGCTACATCAGACCTGCGTGCCTAGCGGCGCTTAGCCATCTTTACATATACTATCTCTTTACTCTATTTTTGAGGTCGATTTTCTGCCCACTTTCTGTGTCTCTAGATACTAAGAATTTTACTCGTTGTTTGCAAGTGACTATTTAAAGTTGCGCGCTTTGGTTCTCAGTCTCCATCTTAGCATCAGCCAACCTTAGTTGGGGTGTTAACACTCATCTTGTCTCATCTTTCTCTTGCTTCTCTTGCTTGCTTGTCTCTCACCTTCGCTCATGTGCGCTACCTTCGCGTCGCACACCTCGACCTTTGCCTTTCGCACTTGTGCGTCATTGTGCACGTTCGCCTTCCATATATCACATCATTTCCACTTTGCATGTTACTTAGCCCTAGTACTTCATTAGTTGTTTGGTGTCCCTCTTTTTTTACAAAGAGAGGTTTCCTTTACTCAGTTAGCTGCCCTTGGGATGACGATTTCACTCTCGCCCGGGTCTATCTGTGTTTGCTTAGCCTAGCACCAACTTTCCCCACAGTTTAGATTCCTCATCTTCAACTGGTGTTCCCGATTAGGTCATCAGAGGTTTCTATATAGCATCTGCATTGATGATGGGGTTTCTTTCACTTGGGGGGTTTCTCATTAGATTTATCCTGAAATGAACACTCAAGTTAAGCGCATTATGAACACTTACAGATGCTTATGACCTCACTAGCGATCTCATGCGATTGGTGGGGAGCTCAGGGATGAGTTTGATGGTGCAGGTAACAGCTGTCATTGGAATGTTACAGCCAGGTCGGAAGATCCAACCCATCCCATCCTGATGATAAATGTGTTTCACATGGTACATGCCAGCAGTCACATCCTCAGTAGGCATTGCTGTGATATAAAAGTACTGAACATATAGAAGAGGTGAGTCTTCAAGATAGCGGGGCAATGCTTGACTTTTCCTTGCAATGGGTTGAAAGATGCAACATACTTGTGTGATATAGATATCTGAACAGGCTTGTGAGCATGTGAATGGTGCCAGCAGTGAGATACTCACCATTGCTGGAAGATAATTGCACAAGAACTGTGTCACAATTGCCTACAGGAAAGGCCTCTGATGGTGGAAACACTTGGACAATTTGACTTGGTAAAGATGAGGAATCTAAACTGTGGGGAAAGTTGGTGCTAAGCTAAGCAAACACAGATAGACCTGGGTGTGAGTGAAACATCGATTCAAGGGCAGCTGTCTGGGTAAAGGGAAACCAAACTAGTAATAGGGTGTAAGACATGCAAAGCACAAGGCAAGAGTGATGCAGTAAATGATATGCAGACGTGCAAGTGTGAAAGGCGAGATGCAAGATGCACAACATGAAGGTAGTGTGCATGAGCGAAGGCGAAATATGAACGAGCAAGAGAGACTAAAGAGAGACAAGGTGAGACAACTAATAACACCCCAACTAAGGTTGGTTGATGCTAAGGCCAAGGGCAGACAACTAATGCGCGAGACTTAGATAGTCACTGCAATCAATGAGTAAAATTCCCTTGTATCTAAGGACACAGAGAAAGTGGGTGGAAAATTGACCCAGTACATAAGTAATAGAGGGGTATAAGTAAAATAACTAAGCACCACTAGGTGCACAGATCCGATGTAATGAGCTGAACAGGCTATAAATAGTACACAAAGTATGTAACAGGGTCTCGGTTACGTGTGAAGTGCAGAGCCGAGTATTAGCGATGGAAAACAATTAAGAAAAATGGAAATATGATGGGAAAAATGCACCAATGAATTTCTAAGGACATGGGATGGACAAGCGGACGAATATGTGGACAATGCGAGCGCGGATGCATGAATGTGAGAGGCTGCATGCAGAATCTGCAAAATAAAACAAGTGCACTAATGCACTAGAAGTATCCTGTGGATTAGAGCTGGAGTTTGTAGGGAAAGTGAGAGAATTCAGAGGAAAGTGTCTGTGGAGATGTGAGTCTCTACATCGGCATCACAACTTGCGACTGGAAAGTAGACAGCGGTTGTAAATGAAACTTGTTTCATGTTTTGACTAAATCTTGTATGCATGTCCAGACTGTTATTGGGGTGCTCTGGGACAAATTATTGATATATTCTGTGAGCACCGCGCCAAAATCAGGGAGATTGTAGATGGATTGCAGTTTGGTGATAGGAAGTGACTTTTGATCAGGAGAGATGGTGACATGAAATGCGGCATTGGCTTCAATGGACAGAATTCCCTTTAAAAAATGGTTGCGGACAGGATGGGGGCTGTGGAAGTGCTTTTGCTCACTAGGGAGCACAAATGCTATCTGTTAAGAACGTGCTCAAGGGTCAAATCTGAAGGGTTTGGCTTCAGCTTGTGCACTGTGCCCCTTACCCGAGTATGTGCCCTCTAGCTTCTGAAGGCTAATGGTGCCTTAGCTTTACATTGGAAGAGTGGTACATTTTATGGATCAATACATTTACATAGATTGTAAATGAGCTTGAGCGTGTGGTTGTCTGTTTGATGAGGGAAGAGGTGAGCACTACTGAAGTCGCTTTGGGTAGCCATTGTAAGTGGTGATGCATTTTTTGAGACACAAGCAATAAGCTGTGCCTCTGGGAGATTGGCTGTATATGCAATGAGCAGAGTGATGCAGAATTGGATATAACCCATAGGGTCCAGCATATATTCGCCAGTCCTCATGGCGACCTTGCAATTGGCAAATATGATATCCATGCATTTGTGGAACAGACGAGCATGGAGGAGTGTTTGGAAATCTGGGTGAATGTCAAACTTTGGAATTGGGATAAATGCAACACAATGTCATGCATGAGCAGTGGCTTTCATTCAAACTTCAGATTGGATGTTGCCGATTGTAAGGAACACTAGGTGCATTTCTAAATCTCCTGACATCCTTGTTACAGACATCTTGTCAGATGCAAGAATAATCAGTACCATGATCACACCTTCTGGAAGGTTGTTCTGTTGTAAAGCACTGAGCGATCCACCTTACTACTAACAAAGAATCATACCTGAATAGTGAACACCCTGTTAGTAGTAAAAAAAATTGCTGTATTTATGTTCCAAGCTGGTCATGACAATGTGAGGATTGTACATCATATGATTGGAAAAGATTGGATTTGCAAATAGGCCTTTGACGACTCTGAGGGTGTCACGCCAGATAAGCTCAATTGGTCACTCAGTTATGTAGTTGGTGAATTCAAGCGTGGTTGATTGCCACTCCGGGCCACTTGGTAATGCATCGACCCAGCCAAATAGCTGATTGGCACTCTTAAAGGATGGGCTGGGTCTAGTTTTAAACTTGTGTGAGGATTAGAGTTGGTGCGGTAAAAAAAACAGGGACTGAATCATGCTACTCACCCAATCCAGCTTCAAAAATCTGTCAATATCAGTTTGCATCAGCCGTTGAACAAGGAATTTGGCTAGTTGCCATTTGGCCTGATCAATGAAGGGGTATGCTGAATTTTATTGCTTCACGGCACTTTTGGTCTGAGTCATGATCCTCCATTTCTTGCAAGATATTTTGTCCCCGTCCAAACAGATAGCCTGATTTTGAATGGTACTAGCCAGTGACCTCTTCCTGGTCGTCATTGCCTCATTTGAAAGCTGGAGGGACTGGCAAACAGTAAGTGGGTTTGTGGGTCCAACAAGAATGCACCTGATCATTGAGATGGTCTACAACAGCAAGGTTTGAGGTGAATTCAAGTCCACAATTTGGGCATTTGATAAGGCTAACACTAAAGCCGGTCAGTTACTACTGTACCATTTGATACAACTCACCTGTGATGATTGTGTATTTCCAGTCCAGTTGCAGAGCACCCTCCAGCCTGCTCCATTGTGATGACGGTCAAAAAATCACTAAGTTCTTCGAACTCCGACAGATCTTCAGCCTATGCAGCACTGGCAGCAACAACCACTAAGTTCTTCAAACTCCAACATCTCTTACTGAATGCTCACTACAATAAGTCACATCTAGCAGAAAGTACTATAATTCCGGCTTCTCTCGACAATACTGTTTCATTGTCTATATCTACTGCATCAGGATCCAGTGGTCGGACTCCTTCCCAATTCACATTCCTTCCAAAATAGTGGAAGAGAATAATATGACTTTGACCTCCTGTCTCCTACCTTCAGAGCCCAAGTTGTTTCCCTTCCTATGCTCAGACACTTCCTCTCCAGTTTCAAATCACTCTCATGCTGATTTACTCATTGGCAGCACTCACAGTTCCTGATGTGGAATGCAACCCACAAGCAGAAGCCACCTATACTTATGTTGTGGTGCTCCCACCTAGCTGGAGCTATATTTTGCCTTAAAGACAATCCAAAGAGACCCTAATATCACCCTTGTTGATGTTGTAAAGGCAAGCAGGCCTTTTTCAGGAATTCATACATAATTTGACTGTTACAGAGGCAAGATGTTTTTTTGAGCAGTCTCTCATCTTTGTCAGATGACATCATAACACTAGCAGTGTGTGCCAAACATGCTACATAAGGGAGTCTCCATCACAAGGTCAAGCAGCTTGGCTGGGAGATATAGAAGGCACAGTATAATGAGCTACTCCTCAATACATTTGAGTGGAAGGAGAAGAAGTGTCTAAAAATGGCAGAGTCAGACTATTGTCTGTTCAGAAGGCTCTTAGTGAGCCAAGACCTCCCAGCCCTGCAGCAGGATGCTGAATACCTGGAGGAATCACATGATCATGAGCTCAAATCCCTAGCTATGGCCAATGAGCAACTCTACCAAATATCATTGATATTACCATTTGCAAGAAGATATGTCTCCCACAGGCTTCTGAACAGTAGCAACACAGGATGAGCCTGGTGAGGAGGCCAATGAGGAGGAACAATCTGATGGTTACATTGGTAGCGATTATGATGAGGTAGAAGGTGAAAGAAAGTTCTTTGCTCCTCTAGAGCACCAAAATAACTCACAAACCTATCTTTTTAGATTGATTGTTGTCCATGAGTGCCATCAGATGGCCATTGATACTCATTTATGCTACTACTCAAATCAGTTTTGTTAGCATGCTGTGGTTTATTCCTATTGCAAAACCCCATTCTCATTTGTATAATATACTATAGCAGGTTGAATAGAAGCATCATTTGTTGATGTGACTAAGTTTGACATTTGTGATATGATCAGATAACTTACTTACTAACACCACAACATCAATGAATGACCCTCCACCATCAGCAAGATCTACTGGCAGGCAGAAGCCCAATACTGTCAGAGTACGTATCAAACTCACTTTTGTTGCTTCCCTCGTATACTAACACAATTGATCTACAGAAGGGTTTCTGGCCAGATCTGCATTTAGACCTGAACCCAAGTGGCCAATCGGTCACTAATCAACTTGGTGTTATGACTGGGATAGTTCTTCTGTCAAAGGTCAAAGATAAACCAGTCTTGTTGACAGCATGTTCTGAACTCCTAGTACAAGGAGGGTTCTAATTCAAGGGTTCCGCTAGATGAGCATGATAGCTTCTATCTAGGTTTAGAGGTAAGCACTCGACAGCGACTTCTACCTATTCTATAGGTGAGTGGTTTTAGTGCTTCTACCTATCAAGAGTTCAGACTAAAACAGTGAGTAACTGTCTTAGAGATCAAGTATCAGACTATAAGGGTGGAGACCTTATAGAACAGGATTCAAGGGAAAAACCCAGTAGATTAAGTTAAGGAATACTACTGATGTACATGAGGTTTATATAGATAACAGGAAGTGGTGCAGCCATGTCAAGAAAGGTAACAAAGATAGGAAAATATTACAATCTATCAAGATAACAAAGATAGGTGAAACAATCATGCTGCACATGATGATAGTAGTCAAGATACAATCAAAAAGAAGAGAAGTGCGGACAGCCTATTTGATAAGAGAATAGCCAAGTCTAGATGAATCTAGAGTTGATGCTAGGGTTACAGAAAGAGAAAAATAAGTAAGGGTTAAATGTTATTGTAACATTTGGCTTATCTGGTGATTGCATAGCAACACCTGTGGAATATCAGATCCAGATGTCTCTCCCCTAACAATATCCATCACATCACATTCCAGTGTCTTAGCAATACCACGCACCAGCACCCCATCAATACCAAGTGCCAGTGTCCCATCAGTACCAGGCGCTGGTACCTTAGCAATCTCAGCCCCAGTACCATCAACTGCCTCACGCGCAACCTCAGTTCTGGCATCATCAACAATCTGAACCCCAACAGCAGCAGACCCTACTAAATTGACACCACACTAAATGGAATAATGATAGTGCAGTGGCAGAGACATATGTAGGCGCATTTACACTCCTCCGTAGTGCATTATCAAGGCTGCCTTCATAGCTGGATACTATCAAAGATGAGTCTTTGGCTCCCTGGGAGGCTGCACAGCTTGTTGCTTTTGCACCTCTCCATCTGGGAGAGAATATCTGTGGGGAGAGAACACAGGGTGTCATTAGAGTAAATCATCAAGTGTGTATTCAAGTACTTACTCATGATTACACAGTCTCAAAAGCACATCTCTGACACTGGAAGACAGCAACATAATATCAAACTCCCTCCCATACCAGAGATACATCCTACTACTGTGCCCAATTCAACCGAGGGATTGGTATTGGTCCCAGACCCACCTATTTCAACACACATCAAGCTCTCAACAAAATTGGCCCAAAAGTTCAAGGAAAGGGTGAAGGATAATCTTCAGGCCCTTGCACTAAATGTGGATTCCGAAACTGATGGTGCTCTTAACGACAAGCTTCATGACAAGATGATTTGCACTGCACTGTCAACTGCAAAAATTGAGCTGTTTGGTCAAGGTATCTCTTGTTAGTTTCTAAAGAATCAATGTCCTGACAAGCCTTTGTAGCGGACATTGAGGACATCAAAGGGATCGACAACTTCATGGTGGTGTTACAAGAACATCTGAACGCTTGGGCCCCTACCATTTTTCTCCTTATCCTCCTCATCACCGCCCTTGCATCATACCCTTACCCCGACCTTGCTCTTGTTATTCTTGTCATCCTCGTGTTCCCCTTCGCTCTCTACCTGTTGCTCCAGCAAAGCCAGTACATTTGGCCTGACCCTTTCTCTGACGAAGCACACCCATGCTTCATTCCACCCAATAACTGATCCTATGGACAGTCCCCTTTACCCTTACCGTCTGGACAGTAACCTATGATATGATGCACGACACATCCCCTTTGCCCTGTTTCCTTTCTTGACTCAGTGCGCAGTCGCACATTGTACTTAGACTTAGATCCGCAGTTGCACGATCATGCCCCTGCTTGTTTCACTTCCTGCTCTGTTCTTTGACTCATTTCTTATCTGCACGTTCCAGTTCGCCTATGACTCACCTTGAATGTGCCTTCCTTTTCTAGTATCACCCTTTAACCAACCCCTCTTCTAGTAGTATGAGTTATCATCCACTAATACACTTCCTCTCCTCTATATAAACTTGCTACCATGTATCTAGTTCCTTAACTTGAATCTACTTGGTTCTTGACCTCCTACTCCTAACAAGAGTGATTCCTTCTGCCTAGCCAGCAGTCTATATTCTACTTTCTTATCTGCTCATTGCGGATAAGTCTTTAGTCTTGATCTTTATCATCGACTTCATCAACAAGTAAAGCCCCTGTTAACTAGTTGGACTTCTGTCCTTCTATTAACGCAGATCTTACGACTAACCTTCGGGTGTCATAAGCCTTGGCAGATATGCTTATTGTCAAGCTTCACTTGACATAAGCTACCCAATTTGGACATAGGCGTCAAATCTTGCTTGCCAAAGCCTCGCCAAGCAAGACTCCTAACTTTGGGCTAGCCCAGAGATGTCCTCAACCATTGATGATACACGCTCTGTTTGAGCAGTCGTCAACAGATACCATCCAAGTCGTAACAGTGGCCACATTAGCTGATATGTGATGTGATTTTAAATCTCATGCAATGAATACTGTCTTGGACAGTTATGATCTGCATCCACTGTTGTTTTCTGAAGAGGACGAGTCAATACTCAGGCAAAATGGCATCAAAGTTCTACTAGAGGATTTGAAGTACCTACACCAAGTTGAACGGATATGTGTTTTCATCAAATCAGTGGGATGTCTAGCTCACCTGGCCATAGATGTTTGATGGCACAGAGGTTGAGCGGCCATTGGAGAATAAAGTCCTTGTGAACATGGTAATTTACACGTTGAAATTGGGTTTATCCGACATCATATGTGGACCGCTTGACTGTTTATTTGCAGTATGTGGCGCAACCATTTGCTATGTGCTACAGGTTTATTAAACTGGTCGTTTCATCGATGTCTTGGTGAACTCATCTATTTTTGATGATGCCTACCATGAAGTTATAACTTACTTTGATACAACTATCCATATCTCAAATACTTTGTGTGAAAGGTTTGAGGCTGTATAATAAGAAATTCTGAGACAAGTGCTCAACAATTAGATATTTGTGTTCCAATGTTGCTGATGATCAAATCAATCAATCATATCATATTGAATTGAACTGATTTGAAGCTGATAATGTCAGTCTCTTCTTCGTGTCATGTCTGTTCTCCATTGCCCTACATATTTGGTCTAGTCACATACTAAATACAACTCATCCAAGACTATACTAAATAGGGATTGTGAAACAATGCTTGAACAACATGCTCAACTCTAGATGTGTGTGAGCATCCTAAATATTTTCAAAACAATATATATTGAGTGAATCTTATGAAAGTGAAAGATTATTACAAGGTAATCAAATCTTATCTACAGAGCATCAGACATACTAGCAGTACTGATTGTAGATACACCTCATTCAAGTAAATTTTTCTTTAAAAGAAATGAAGGTGTCATACACTCACAGCAGGGTCAGAGATATTTAAGATAGATTTTGATGTTGTCCAGAATGCAAAGAATGTTTTGAAAATTTGAACTAACATAAATATGGGTAGATAACTACAGATTTCATTCATCTTTTGTGCAAAATCCAAAATATTAAGGTTTGGCAGTCATTTTCCTAGTGACCATACATCACCGAAAATAAGAAATATAGTTGGAATTTAAGTGTCTGCTTAAATTTAAAGTTCTACTATGACATTTAACTTATGACAATCACTTGAAGTTTGGTCCTTGGTCACCATATTAAATTGTGACAGACAATTACTAATTAGAGTCTGTTCAGATAGCAAATTTCAAAATTGAAATTTGCTTTGTTATTGTCCTGAGATCGGTCACATTACACTGATAATAGATATTGATAAAATCATTGTACAGTGCTATTGTTCATCATTATCCAGTCTGATGCAGGTGATATGTTGGATCTAATAGATACCAATATGGAGGAAGATGATGATGATGAGTTGGATCTACTTGAGGGGATGTTCTATCCTGCAGCTCATACAGTCTCTATGATTGTTGTTGATGCAGCTAATCAGGCATTCGGAACATATTCAAAGGCCCACCTCGAGAAGGTTCCTTATCACACCTTAGCTCTGTCAGGAATGGCATAAGTCAATGAAATTCTCACTGGACATCCAGATTGCATTTAATGTGAACTTGGTGTATACTGGCACATTTTCTATATTCTTCTAAATCTACTTCATATTTTAGGATGTTGAAACTCGAAGCATGTCATCCTTGAGGAGCAATTGGCCAACTTTCTTTATGGATGTACCATAGGTCTTTTTGTCCACCACCTTAGTATGTGCTTTCAATACTCTAATGATACAATATCAAAGTATGTCATTCATTCTTATCATACTATGCTTGTTGCTGAAAGCATAGCAATGTATTTTAAAGATATTTCTAACATATTCTTGTGGAATTCTTGTGCCCCCTCATCTATACTACATATGTCTGGCTATCTGATATACTAAATCTGATACCCCCTGAGATCTCTCAGAATCCCAAGTTTTATCCCTACTTTTCTGATACCATTGGTGCTATTAAAAGTGTTCAAGGTGTTTCCTTTCCTGAAACCTCGCTAAGCTCAGCAAAGATGGCAAAAATTTCGTAAACTTCTGTAAAGTTTGGCAACGAGAATCAAAGAAATGTGCCACAGCACAACTGAAATTCAATCTTTGATTGAATGTTTTGCTATTTCCGGTACACTGTCTGTCCCCTATTAATGTAGGTAATAAGCTTATCTCTCTCTTGATTTCCAAAGATTCCCTATCTTTCCCTGCACAATAAGCTGTTTGAGCAACTGGATGAGGCTGAACTAGCCTTAGCCAAGGCCAGGGTAGAGCATAACACCATTAGCTTTAATAATCTTTATGATTCTGATTCTGACTCTGACTCTGATTCTGATTCTGATCTTGATCTGATACTTACTCCTCCATCTCCTCTTACCCCACAATTCTCTGACCTTTTAGACATCAGCTCCTTTTCTAGTAATGAATCTAATGGCCTCACTACCCATTACGATTGTGTTCATGATATCATTGCTGCCCTCCGTAATGAGGTTACTAGGGCTCATATTCTTCATAGACCAGATGCACCTCCTATGCGAGCCTCTCAAATCTAGCTCCTCCATGACTTTAGGCAATCTTGACACCACCTCTTCCACAAGAAATTACATGTCAATCCAGACATATTTGATGACATCCTTAATCAAATCTCTAATTACCCCATTTTCACTAACCAATAAAACAATCTCCAACTTCCCATTGCTATCCAGCTAGCAATTTTTCTCAACCATACTAGATACTATGGTAATGCTATCTCTCCTAATGATGTGGGCCAATGGGCAGGTGTTAGTGTTGGATTGGTAATCAATTGTAGTAACTGTGTAATGATTGCCCTCCTTGATCAGCATGACACATTCATCTGCTTTCCTACTCCTGACTCTGACAATGCTGAGCATGCTCAGCAATATGTCAAATCCAAGTCTTGCCCTGAGTAGAGAGGTGGCATCTTTGCAATTGATGGCTCAGCTATTAATTTGTATGAGAAACCTGGTCTTTATGGTGAGGCATTTTATGACAGAAAGTCTAACTATTTCCTCAACTGTCAAGTATTTTTTTTCTTATTCTAACGGTTAGAAATTAATATAAAATCTTAGACAATTATTATGCCCCACAACCTCCTCATTGCCGATTATTCACTTGGTCACCCTGGAAGCACACATGATGCTTATACCTTCAAATCTACTCATGTTTATCAGGAGTATGCCACACTTCTTCCCAACAACCATTGGATTTGGGCTGATAGTGCATGTCCACTTGAAAAGTGGTGTATTCCACCTTTCAAGAAGCCACAGAAGGTAGGTTGACAAGGGACCAGAAGACCTTTAATATATATCTATCCAGGATATCTCCTAATTTTTCTGCTGATTTTTCTGATTTTTTACTGATTTTGATCTATCCAGGTTCATATTCATGTTGAGCACACATTTGCTGCTTTGAAGGGGTGTTTCCAGTCTCTTAAGGAGCTTCACTACCCTATGCAGACCCACAAAGACTTTTAGATTACTCTGCATTGGGTCAGATGTTGCCTTATTCTTCACAACATGATTATTAAGTTTGAAGAAAAATGCAACAAATCTACAATCAGATGGGCCATTCAAGAAGGGCACCATACTCTGCGTGAAGAGTATGAAGGACCAGATGGTGATGAAGTGGTGGGTGATAGATCATATGAAGGCACTCCTAGTCAAGCATACAGGGCCAGGTTGATGGATCAATTATTTGATAGCACTCACTCAAATTCTTAGCGTCGGCAAGGATAGATTGAAACAAACACATGCTTTGACATGTAAATGTAGATGTAAATGTAACACAGGTAGCAACTATCAAATGATGACATGTAACGAGATGCAAGAATACATAAGACAACAAGGTGTGAGAATACTTAAAACAACAAGGCATGAGACAACAAGCGAAAAAAGCAAGGAGAAAACATACAAAAAGCAGTGCGAACAGGAAGATCACTTCTGGTTGAGCTTGGCATATTCAATACATAGGATCATCAGCTCCTTCTCCAACTCCAAAGCCTTTGCATCCACTTCTCGCAAGTGAATCTCCTGGACCTTACTCTCCTACATGCGCTGATGGACAAGAGCTGCATCCACACACTCGTGGATGCACTTTTCACATCAAAAAACCATATTCCTTTTCTTGACGATGAGCATTCATCTTGGCCATGAGACACTCGTTCTTGAGCTGGTATAATGCAAGCTTGTCAAAGTGCATGCACTTTAAATCATCATTCAACATTGCAACCTGCTCCTGAATTTCTGTTCGGAAACACTTTTTCCCTGAATATCTGCTGCTTGGTTTGTCCAAGAATGAAGTTTGTGATGTTGGGGAGGGACATTGAGGAGAGGATCATCTGTGTACTGATGAATTCCTTGATGATGATGTGGCAGAAGAAGCTTCACTATTCTCATGCAGGATGACTTGATTGACATGCGACTTGAATGAGACATGACTATCATGAGCAGAGGTGTGGGGAAGTAACAGAGATGGAGACATGGGCATCTGCCATTTCTTTCCACAGGCCTTTTTTGATTTGGGTGCGCTGTTTAAATTGAACATGTCCTCAGTTACAAGGGGTTTCATCCCCATTGTCCATGCAAAGATCTTCCATATCATCCAAAATGGGGGCATTGTCAAATGGCAGCTCATAATTTGTGAGATCTGGAGGGGCCGGAGAATAGTTGTCATGGCCAAAAGACTGACCACTGGGAGTAGGGGGGAAGGGGTGTATGACCAAATTGGAGTGGGGAGCCAGCAGCGCTGCCTCCATCATTGCTTACAGGATCTTGTGGAAAATTCCATTGTTGGAAGGAGCTGGCACTGCCGCTTTCCTGAGCATTTTGAGGGGAGGAATAGTTGAATTGGAGTGGGAAGCCACCAGCACCAGCAGGCAGAGTCAAGGGAAGAGGCATATGTGCTATTTGCATGGGGGGGTCAGTCAAGCTGGCTCCATAGACACTTGGAGGACAGTGGGTATAGTCTGCTGGTGGTAGATCAGCATAGTCACTCATGTATTGTGGGGTGCAGGTGCCAGAGGAAAGCACCATGTAGTCAGATTGCAGTGAGCTAGCACTGCCTGCAGCAGGGTTAGCAGACAGGAGGTGAAGTTGCAGAAGGGCCTGCAACCTGCCTGCAGGAAGGTTTTGTGAAGTTCCCTCAGGACATGTGCAAATAGGTCACCCGCATGGTCAACACCTGGTTTCGATGAGGTTTTCTTGGGATACATCGCAGAATTCCACAGGTCATTGAAAAGAATAGATGAGGACGAAAGAGAATCGCTGCAGAATGGACTTGCAGATATATTTTGCAACCTTCACTGTCTTCCGGCAAGCACAGGAGCCATCTGGAGGGTCAAACAGTCCGCCATAGTCTTCATCACCAACCCAGCATTCTACAAGATCGAATGCTTGGGAAGAGCTGGCATTGGCCAGAGAGCACCCATCGCTCGCAGGCCAGTGAATATAATCAAGGGAAAACACATTTTTGCGGCGGATTTGATGGATATCACACCTTTCGACGCTTTTGGGGCTCTCATAAAGAAGTCTGACAGGCAGAAACGCAGGGAACTTCGCAAACGACTGAATCAGGCAAACAAACACAAGAGAATCCCTCCCTCTGCATGTCCTCGCAAGGCCAGACCATTCCCAATGAATCTAGTAGAACCTATGGACTCGGCAAGGCATGATGAAATGGATGTAGATCGACCTTGATGTACATACATGATATTATACCAGCTCAGCATGATAATTCGACCAAAGTGTTTCACTGTTGTATTTCAGGAATCTGCGCAGGAACTAGTTTTGATACGGAAAGCCAGGACTTAATGATGTGACTAACTTGGACAACTTGCGATTTACAGCTCTATGCATGTAAACAGTGCAAAAAGAGAAACAAAGGCCGAGACTGTTATTGACAGTTGACCCACATGAAAAAGGATGGGGGAGGAGTGCGATCTATTTGTGCCCACATCGTCGCAATGGTGTAGAAAAGGGGCACTAAGGAGGGTTTACCTATCTCATTGTAGTCCGAAAAATATAACCCCTAACTCGATTCCATTGGTTCCTATTTTATGACAGGTTAGCTTTCAGGTTGTTCAAAAATTTCAAAAATGAGTATTGGGAATGCTGCTTAGTACCCCTGTCTCTATAATATTGCCTCCTTTGTGTAGATCACATGTATGTCTTGTTGACATTTGCGAACTTGTTTTTTAAAAACAATTTTTTTAAAATAAAGTCTAAAACACTGTAATAACAAGTGTTGGAAATCATTGCTGCTGGTCTGCCGCTACAGCCATTGAGAAATAAGGATTTAGAATAGTTCAACTTGTCAGTCAGGCTGTGTCCAAGTTGATCATGTGCTTATGTTGGTGGCATAACTCTAGGCTATTGCACTATCCTTCATGATTGATTTTGTTTCCATTCATATAACCTTCTCACTTTCTCACTTTCAAATTGAGATTTCACTGGGGGTCATTAATACTATGGGACGAAAGTGAATGATGCCACATGTAATGCTGGGGTGCTCAACCTGGGGTCGGTTGTTTTGACCTTCATATGACTAAATTGACTGCATTACAGGGGTAACTGATCCTTTTACATTTAGGAGCCTAACAGAAATTTGATTTGTAAAAGTCTTATTCTATGTGTCCACCTGTCCGCATCTGCTTATGTAAGCAGGGTCGCCCCTGTCTTGCTACCTCACAATGATCGATTTTTTCAGCCTTTGTATGACTTGCCTTGCTTCGAATATACATCTCAATTGAAGTTATTGAACCACCAGAATCTGAATGCAATGATTATTTTGACTGAAAAAATTATTTGCTATAGTTATGAGTAATGAGTGACTGTAAGTCAGCAATACTAATGTGCTTGACCCAACGGTCGATTGGCTCAGCATTTTAATGATTTAAATATCTCAATCTCAAGCTACATAAAACTAAAATCAATCTATGTACATTTTGGAGCAACAGATCTCTGATATATGGAGTCTTGTGTCAAGTTTGCCCACCTGTCCGACCCCATCAGCAAGTAGAGTTTGCAGGAAATATAACACATCTTTGATGATCAACGATGTGTTATGCTTCCTGCAAACTCTACTTGCCTTGGTATGTTCATACCTCTTCACTTATGATGATACTGATGAGTTACTGGCTTTGAAGCACTCGACCCCAATGTCAAGATTGCATATGCCGAACATCAGTGGGACAAGGAGTCGTTCAATGAGTACTACTGTGATGTGGCCCTGACCTCTGTTGCTGTAGAGGCTGACAACGAACAAGGGATATCTGTTACAACTTGGATGGTATCTGTTGGCGACGCTCAAACAGAGCGTGTGTCGTCAACGGTCGAGGACGTCCTTGGGCTAGCCCAAGGTTAGGGGTCTTACTTGGCAAGGCTTCGGCAAGTAAGATTTGATGCCTATGTCCAAATCAGGTAGCTTACGTGAAGCAGGTGCTAGACGATGAGCTGTATCTGCCAAGGCTTATGACACCCGAAGGTTAATTGTAAGATCGTCGTTAATTAGAAGGACGGAAGTCCGACTAGTTAACAGGGGCTTTGCTCGTTGACGAAGTCGATGAGTAAAGATCGAGACTATAGGCTTATCCGCGAAGAGCAGATAAGAAGATAGAATATAGACTGCTGGCAAGGCAGAAAGGGATCACTCTGGTGAGAGTAGGAGGTCAAGAACCAAGTAGATTCAAGTTAGGGAATATGTTACATGGTAGCGAGTTTATATAGAGGACAGGAAGCGTATTAGTGGATGATAACTCGTACTACCAAGAGAAGTAAACAGTAAAGGGCATAACCATAAAAGGAAGGCACGTTCAAGGTGAGACACGGGTGAATCCTGAACGTGCGGATAAGAAGGTAAGTCAAAGATCAAAAATAAGAAGTGAAATGCGCAGGGGCACGATCGTGCAACTGCGGAGCTAAATATAAGTAGCATGTGCGACTGCGCACCAAGTCATAGATCAAGAAAGGGAAAGGGGTAAAGGGGATGCATCGTGCATCATATCATAGGTTACTGTCCAGACGGTAAGGGTAGGAGGACTGTCCACAGGATCAGTCAGGTGGTGGAACAGAGCATGGGTATGCTTCGTCAGCGAACGGATCCAGCCAGATGTACTGGCTCTGCTGAAGCGACAGGTAGAGAGTGAAAGGGAATGCGAGGATGACAAGGATGACAAGGGTAAGGTCGGGGTAAGGGTATGACGCGAGGGCTGATACGAGGAGAATGATGAGAAAAATGGTAGGGGCCCAAGCATCTAGATGTTCTTGTAACAATATCTGACTTGCATGGTCAGTATGGCTGTTCATGGGTGCTTGCAGCTGTGCAAGCATGTCTCGCATCAGATTGCACCAAGCTGAACCCTCGCGCTGAACTTACGGCTTATCTTGGAAGTCCTCTCGAGCAGACTGATGATGTCGTATGTTGGTGGGGGGTGAGTGTTTATGCTATCACAAGCATACAAGTTGACTAACGAAAATTTGTCAGCACCACCAGTCACAGTACCCAAATCTTTCATGCATGGCCAGGGACTACTTGCCCATACAAGGCTCCAATCAATCTATGTACATTTATGAACAACAGGCCTCTGATATGTGGTGTCTTGCTTCAAGTGTGTCCACCTGTCCGCATTTGCTTATGTAAGCAGGGTCGCCCCTGTCCTGTTGCCTCACCCAAAGGTTGATTTTTTCAGCCTTCATATGACTTGCTT